TCTGTACCATGGTCTCTTACCTCTAGACTACCCACAGACCACGACAGCAGCAAGGCCTTTCTTATGTGCCAGCTTCCGTTCTGCCAGCAAAGACCATAATGCCTAACAAGTGATGAAATTCCTAACCCTTTTGCAGTTACATAAATATAGTCACCATTTTGTAAAACCTCAGAGCACATTTTCAAGATTTCTTGAGTTTGGGGGCTGGAGAGGTGGCTCTTGCAGAGGACCTGAGTTTGGTTCCCAGCACCTATATCAAGCGGCTCACAACTACCACTTCAGCACCTGCATTCACATGTACATAATTAAAAATAAATCTTTTTTTTAAAAAGACCAACTCTAAGATTTCTTGAGTTTGTACTTTCCTATCCGGCAATCCATATTAACCCCAGATGAATTTAATTGTTGTTCTTGTATATTTGATCATCGGAGATTTCGGGGGCTTGGATGTATGTGTGGAAGCACTCTTGGAGTCAGACCCTGTCTCTAGGTGGAATGCATCCAGACTGAGCTGGATTCAAGGACACCAGCTTGTGTACACTGTGAAGTAGATTATGTGCTCTTCCCCCCCTGGGGGGGGTATACCATTTAAGGTCAAGATCTCTTCTACATTGATTGGTAGGTTAGAAGGGCAAGGAAAAGCAGTTAATTTTTCCACAGGGGCCTAGATGGGCAGACAGAGTTCCAGTAGGCAAAAGCGAGAGAAGGACATTCTAGAACACCACAGAGCAGCAGATATGGAGTAAGAACAGCATCTGTGGGGAGTCAGTACTGAGCCTGACAGCCACAGAGGCCTCTGCGCCGCACTGAAAGGGAAGAAGTCACAAAGGGATGTGAATGGCCTGTGTGAGGGGTGCCCGGCTTTTGCAGAAGATTAGGATCTGCTTGGAAAATCAAAAGATATTAGTGCAGATGGTGATTAGGGAGGGTCCATACCCAGTACTACTTAATTAAATGTCATTTTAAAAAATAATCTACCCAATGGTGTCTTCAGTTTTTCTTGAAGCCTTGCCATCAGCAAGATTTTACATTAAAACAAGCCCTCTGCAACTCTGGCCTTTAAAATTCTACAGAATTAGCTGGGCATGGTGGAGCATGTCTTTAATCCCAGCACTCAGGAGGAGAGGCAGGTGGATCTCTGTGAGTTCAAGGCCAGCCTGGTCTACATAGCGAGTTCCAGGCCAGCTGGGATGAGGAGGAGGAGGGGGGGGAAGAGGAGGAGGAGAAATTCTACAGAATTAATAGAAGTGGGATGTAATTATGATGTCCCAGCGAGGGCATAATAAAAACAGAAGCCTCTCTGTACCCTTCTGTACCACAGTTTTTAGCCAGTTTCCTTCCTATTTCAAACTCCTCCAAATCTCTTTTTCCACCACAGCCTGTTTCTCAGTCTTCTGATCTTGTCTACATTTTGGTGGTGAGTGCCCAAGGGTCCCTTTTTTCTGGCAGTTTGGGGTGGGGTCCTGAGTTCCTTCCTAACACTGTGATGATAGAGGCGATGGGAGAAAAGAGCAGGAATCCAAGGGCAGGAAGAAAACTATGGAAACACACGCATTTCAATTCTTACTCCAGTCGGATGGAAGCAGTGACGTGAAAAGAGGCAACCTAGAAAGTCACTCTCCAACACGCTCATGAGGGCTTGAACCAGGGCAGTGGGAAAGAGTAAAACAGAACACATTCTAGGTATTCCAGATGCCATCTATTAGCTACACTGAGCTGAGAGTGACCTCAGATGTTGGTGATTGGCTAAAGGAATAGGCAAATACATACATGGATAGAAATGTGCTGTGGGGAGGAAAGAAGGCCGCAGGTGGCCAATCACCAGTGTTCCTGGGTGCCTAACAACCACACACAACAACTCCAGGGAAGGTGTCCAGGTTGGCAGCTCTTGTCCCAGACTTACGTCTCACATCAGCTTCTTAGGGAAGCTGGCCAGCCTACTGAAAAGGGAGTCTGTGCAACTCCATGTCATGATATTGAGAAATACATAGTTGGCCTTCCTGGCATACAAATCCTAAACTCCTTGGAATCTTGGAAGTACTAGTATGCTGAGGAGTTGACTGAGGGCAGAAGCTTCTAGGCAGCCTCAAGGTGGGGGCTGAAGGTGGAGTTCATCACTATTGCCCAGTGATTTACTCAAACCTATCTATGTAATGAAACCTCCACAAAAATGGGAAAGCACAGAGTTCAGGGTTCTGAATAGCTGAACACCAAGAGGATGCATGGAGGGTGGCTCACCCAGGAAGGGCATGAAAGTCCCCAAACGCCTTGCCCTGTCCTATGCATCTCCTCATCTGTATCCTTTGTGGTATCCTTTATGGTAAACCAATAAAAGTGATTTTGAGTTCTGTGGGTCACTGTAGCAAATGGATGGAACCTGAGAAGAGGGTTATGGGAACCTTGACTCCTAGTTGGAGAGTCAGAAACACAGAAGAACTACCTGGGGCTTGTGACTGGTATCTGAGACAGGGACAGTCTTAGAAATTGAATCTCTAGCCTGTGGGTTCTGGCACTGTATCTTTAGGACATAATCGAATTAAAAGCCCAGCTGGTACCTACTGCAATATTACTGGTGTGGTATGCAGAAGTCCTCCAGAGTTCAGTGCCGGGAGCAACTGACATAGTCAGGATACAGAAAGAGAAACTGAGCCTGAGTCAGTTTTTTCTACCTTCCTGTGCAGCAAGGATTCCAAAACTAAGGCCTGCAGACACAGAGGAAGGAAGGAACGATGGGAAGGAAGGAGGGAGAGAGGGAGGAAGGGAGAGAGGGAAGGAGGGAAGAAGAGAAAAAAGAAAATGAAGCATGAGGAGAAGAGGCCTCTGGGCCATTGTGTGGCAGCCCAGTGGCAGGTCCAGGGCATCCTGAGTCCCCTGTACTTCTTCCTCTCACAAATTAAGTTGGGTGGTAGTGTTGATTGTGTTGCAGAGTCACAGGCACATCTGACAGGGATGAGAGTCTTTGGCCTCCCAGATCTAGGAGATGTTTCTTCCAGAATGAGTTATGACTCCTGCCACCCCTGAGCATATCCTGTGAGAACATCCAGATGGGTCCTCATCGTTGTATTTATGTCCCTGTTTGTTCCTGGTCCCTGTCAAGAGCTCCATTCACAGACTCAGCATCAGATGTAAGTAGCTACCCTTCCTCTCCCCGTGTCAATGAAGTACACTAATCAAAAAGTAAGGCCAGCTTAGGCAGCTGTAGAAGGCAGTAAATGTTGAGGGTGACCAGTAGCCTACTATCTTTCACGCCTCATTTAGGGGAGAGGGTGCTGGGGATTGAGCCTTGGGTCTTGCATGTGCTAGGAAAGTGTTCTACCACTGAGCTAAATCCCCATCTCCCTTCATTGTCTTGAACCAGAGAGAAAGCAAGTTAACCTTAAATGAAGCAGCTCTAAATCAATGCGTTACCATAAATGTTTTTGCAATTTGAGATTTTTTCTCACATTCCTTTTACATTCCAAAATGTCACTGGATCCTCTGAGATAAATATTTTGGTTAGCAATAATTATTAAGTCAGGGACTGGAGAGATGGCTCAGCGGTTAAGAATGATACTGCTCTTCCAGAGGACCCGAGTTTGATTTCCAGTGCCCAAATCAGGTGGCTCACAACTGCCTCTAACTCCACTGAAGGTACATGCACAAACCCACATACATATACACATAATTAAAAAATAACAATGATAAAATAATTTTAAATAAATAAATAATGATTAAGCCAAAGTGGGACCATCACAGCACCCCCTACTGAGCTCACTGCTCCCAGCCTCTCATGGATGGCTTCCTACCACCTCTCTGTCTGGCTCATTGGGTGACCCTGCATGCTGTTCTTCCTTCCCTCCCCAAATGTGCTATAAAGGGCAGAGACCTGGCTGCCTAGAGGTCTGCACAGCCTCAGCCCTCTGCATGATAGCTAGCATGGGAAGACAGGTTCTCAGTAGAAGCTGTGGAGTAGCTAAGTATATATTTAGATCATACTATTAAGAAAGAAAAATAAAAATGTGCTTAGTGGCTCATGCCTGTCACCCCAGCACCTGGGAGGCTAGGCAGGAAGATTTCTCTGAATTTAAGGCCAGCCTGTGCTACACAGTGAATCTAAACAATCTCAGCGACATAGTGAAATGCTATCTCAAAAAACAAGCAACCTAGTCCCTCTGTGCTTTCTTAAAAGTGAAGCATGAAGTGGGTAAAAAACCCCAAACCAACCTAAGGAAATTTTGGCCACCAGTGGCTGCTGAAAGGGGCAGAGACAGTCTCTTGTAAGAATGGGACTCTGCAGGCTCCAGTGGATGGACCCACACTGAAGGACATTTGGGGGCACAAATTAGACTTGCCTCTCGGCGTTTTCCCTTTTTCTCTTGATCTACACATCTTTTCTGTCTGTAAGAATCCTGTTTCTCTATCGTGACAACTACCCCCCCACACACACACACACCTTCTCAGGCATCTTAGTGGCAGGAACCTGCGTGTTCAGAACTGGCATGAAAGGAGCTGGTAGCCTTTAGTCCCCTCTATCTTACCTAGGAAAGGTTGGAGCCAACACCAGCCTTGGCAGCTTACAGAAGTTGGCTGCTACTACCCAGGCCTCGGGCCAGCCTAAGAGAAGGAAAGGGTATTCTGGAATGTTAGGGGTCTAATGGTGGTCATATTAGTTAATGTTCAGGACCGCTTCAGAGGACACAGGGCTGAGATGCTGACAGGTGGATAAATTGTCCCACAGCCTGGCAGGTGAGGCTGAAACCCAGGTCTTCCTGCTGCTAGAGGTCAGTTTATTTCCACAAAGACCTCCAGCCCCTGGGAAGGAGCAGTAAAGCTGTTTTCTTTGCCTGCCAGATTGTTACTGAAGTGTCAACCTAGGCCAATCTAGCGAACCGGTTACCTCCCCAGGAAGGGAAGCTGCAGATGTGTATTCTCCGCTGAATCCATCTTCCCAAAGTGAGCGCCTTGCCCAGAGCCCAGAGGATGCGGGCTCACGGGAGGATGGGGCCGGGGCGCAGGCTTACCTGCGCTCCGGGAGGCTCTGGGCGGCCGAGCTCCGGCTGCCAGGAGAGAAAGCGCTGGCCTGGGCTCCCCGACGCGCGATGCTCTGCGCCCCCGGGGCCGCGCCTGGATCCCGTGCGGGGACAGCGCCAGCGCCAACAGCAGCAGGGCTGGCAGGGGGCCGCCGGGCTTAGCCGGCTGCATGGCCCCGGCGTCCGCAGCTGAGCGACCCTGGGACCCGTCGCGCCGCGGTGTCTATGCGCCCCGAGCGCGGGGCGGGGACCGGAGGCGGGGAGCGGGCGGCGCTGGGGACCGCGGGTGCCCCGGGGCCGAGGGCGGGTCTGGGCGCTGGACCCTCGGTGGGAAGCGCACCGCCTCCCGCGCACGCTGGGCTAGGCCGGAGGGACGTACTGGTGTCCTGGCGTGGGGTGCGGGGAGAGATCCCGGCCGGTCGAACGGCCAGCACAGGGTCCCCGGGCTCAGTCCCTCGCCGCAGACTGTGGCTCTCCGGTGACCGCCAGCGAAAGCCGCCAGGATCAAAAGAACTCGCAAGTTCTCTGTCTGGAAGCAAGAAAGCGGCGCCTGGCGACTGAAGGGTGCAGGTTTGCCAAGACCCCTGCTGTGCCCCGCCACCCACCTGCTTGCCCCTTGACCCCGGCGGCAGAACCCGCGCCTGGAAGGTGTAAGGCCCACACCCGGGACCACAGCGCCTGAGAGCTACCCACACCCACCCAGATCCCTCTAGGAGTCATCCGGCTGAGTGCCACAATCCCGAGGCAGACCAGCATGACCAGAGACCCCCAAGGATGGGAAGTTTAAGTTATGAAAGTCTTGTGCCGGCTTTGTCAATAATAAGTCCACGCATTCTCCTTAAAATGAGAACATTTCTGTATAAACTATGATTTGAGTCCTTCCACCTGCCTGCTTTAGGTTAAGTGTATTGGAACATGTTGACATGCCCGTCGCTTTATGGCTAATTATTTTCCCATAATCCAAAGCAGTAGAGGCCCTGTGTTCCTTAGCTGTTGCCTAACTCGAATTTCTCTTCAAAGAGATCTTGTCTAAAACTGAAAAATAATCCCAACTCATTCACATAGTTTACCTAAGCTTTACGTTGTCAAACATGCTCAGGAAGTTGAAGGAGCTTTAGAGGAGAAGTTCCAGAAAAGCTTGCCTTTCGTGAGACTCCCAGGAAAGTTTTGTGAAGATTTCCACTGAAGGATGCTACTGGGAAGCTCACATCCTGTATTTCCCAGTGACATATAAAAATGACTTCCACTTGGAAGACAGTAGTGAGCCTCGGGGAAGAATAGATGGAGTCCTCACTTGGAGGAATAAACTTTCTCACTTCTCTATGTGAAATAGCAAAGCATTAGACTTTCACAGTTATGAACAAGAATTTCCAATTTTAATTGTAATTAGAAATACAAGAAGTTGGGTTTACTCTGGAACACAGGAGGGACACACACACACACACACACACACACACACACACACACACCCTAACTGCCAGGAAAAGTAAAACCTTAACACTGAATGGATGCCTTCCTGTCTTCCAGATGCTGAAAGCACACAGCAGGAAACCAAGGAACTTTCCAGAACTTGATAGCTGTGGGTTTTGCTCTGACTGTGTGCAGCAGAGCAAGAAATGGAGCCTCAATCTTCTCAGCAAAGTGAGGAGACTGAACTTCAGCTGTGAAAGAGGGCGTGGGGCTGGGGTGGTGTGTGAAGAAGGCAAACTGCAGGGCTCTGCATCCTTGCTCAGGTCTGTAATAAACAGCTGCCTGCAGGCTGGGACAGAGGGATTCTTTGAGCTCAGGAATTGGAGAGCAGCCTGAGCAACAGTCAAAACTCATCACAAAAATTAAGAGGAAAAAAAAAAGCAGAATTCCAGTCTACTAAGCATCCATCTCTACAGGAGGAACCCACAAATCTGCATTTCAGGACAGGGTGGTTTTGATGCAAATGATCTTTGAAAAATACTTTTATTAATTCAACAAAAATTACTTGAGGATAAATTATAGAGCAGGCACAGAGGAAACCATGGGAGTAAATTAGACATTTGGCTGTCTAGCACAAAGATCTGTCGCAGATAAGCAGGTTGCCATAATGAAGCACTCTTTGCTTTGGATCTTGTTCTTCGGGTCATCTTCCTGCTGTCCTCACGAGGTGCTACATGCTACTTCTTGTCCATTTGTTCAGAGGCTACTTGAAGCTTCTTCCAAGATACATCTCATAACACTGTTAACTTATTATACTCTTACATATAAAGGATGGACTATCTCTTTAGAAAGGGGCATTTATTCATTTTTAACAATTATGTTTTGAAGCTTGGTCTCACTTTGTAGTTCAGGATAGCCTGGAACTGACTATGTAGCTAGAGTGGCCTTGAACTTATGGAAATAATCCTGTGTTCTGGAATTACAGGAATGTACCACAAAACCCAGCTAAATAATTCAAACTTCTAAGTGTAGATGGTTTGGAGGTGTTTTGTTTAATTGTTTTTCTTTTATGTGTATCAGTGTTTGCATTGAATGTAAGTACACCACATATGTGCAGTGCCCTGCAGAGACCAGAAGAGGGTGTCAGAGCCTCTGGAGCTGGAGTTACAATTATTAGCTGCCATGTGGGTGCTGGGACTCGAAACCACCACAGCAAGTGTTCTTAAGCACTGAGCCCTCTAGTGCAGCTGTTTAAAACTATTTTTTAAGTCTTTTACCTCGTATCCTCCCTCCCTCCCTTCCTGTCTTTCTTTCTTTTGACAGTCTCACTAAGTCATCAAGGTTGGCCTTGAATTTGTAATCCTCCTGCCTCAGTATCCCCAGTGCTGGGATTATAGTTGTGCACCACCAGATACAGCCACTCACTTTCTTTGCAAGTTACCTAATAAATGAAATAAGTGGTGTTCCCCTAAGTACCTGTGGTGGTTTGAATGAGAAGTGTCCTCCATAGGCTCCAAGTATTTAAGTACTTGGCCCCAGCTGGTGGCGCTGTTTGTAGAGGTTTAGGAAGTGCAGCTTTGCTGTAGGAAACGTCATTGGGGATGGGCTCTGAGAGTTCAGAGCCTTGTCCCACTTGCAGCTTTCTCTCTCTGCTTCCTGTGCCTACTTGAAGGTGTGAGCGCTCAGCTTTCTGCTCTGGCTGCCTCCCTGGCCATGATGGATTCTTCTCTCTCTGGAGTCATAATCCAAATAAACTTTTCCTTGTATAAGTGACCTTGGTCATGGTGTTTTATTGCAGCATCAGGAAAGTGCTAACACACATTTGACTCCAGTGCTCTCTGGGCTGGGACCTAGTTGGCAAATCATGAAAAAACGCAGCCAAAGACTGTATCATCCATAAATACCAAACCTGCTGTGATGTGCCTCCTTCTGGAAACTGGAGAAGGAAATTGGTAAAGTCAGTCAACATACCGAGTGTATTTGCTCCTTATGTGGCAAAATCAAGATGAAGAGACAGGCTGTGGGGATCTGGTACTGTGGTTCCTATGGGCATTAATTATTTACACCAGTATTATAACTAACCTGAACAAGATAAAAGCCTGACTCTTAAAATAAGTTGGGCTTTATTTGTTTTATTTTTGTCTTTTTGAGACAGGGTCTCCTTGTAGCCCCAGCTGGCCTGGAACTCGCTATGTAGACCAGGCTGGCCTTGAACTCACAGAGATCCGCCTGGCTCTGCCTAGATCCACCTGCCTCTGCCTCTTAAGTGCTGGGATCAAAGGCATGTGCCACCACGCCCAGCTAAAATAAGTTTTTAAGAGTGGGTCCAAACCTGGAGGACATTAATTCCCTTAGCTAGGTATTAGAATCAGCTGTCTCCCAGAACTGTGCAAATGGCTCTCTCTTTTCCCCTCAACCTGTACAGAGGGAGCTGCCTGTGTCCCTACCCTGTGCCAATAGAACTATCTCTCAAACCCTGTTTCTTCTACCTCATGCCTCATCAGTCATACCCATAATTTATTCAAAATGATTTGTCCAATTTCATTGGGAAGTACAATTTCAAGTTCAACTCCATCCTTATGTCAATAGACCCATCTGGCCTTTTCATGCCCACTACCTCATTCATTGAAGGTCATGCATCCTTCTCAGTCTCCACAGTGTCCAGTGGGTCTGCTTTGATATGTTAATTCTCAAGCATGCCCGCATTCATTCATCTTCTTTTTGGGTGGAGTACCAAACTGTCAAGGAGACACCCCAGTCATTAGATTGCAAGAGCATGGGTGTGGTTTTGCTGGGGTTAATTACAAGTCATTAGTCCAGATTATGTCCATTAATAAAAGTCATTCCTACAGGTTTCAGCAGGGAAACAGTAGCTGGTGGTGCCTAGACCCATAGAACCACTTTGCCATCATGGAGGAGTGCTCATCAGAAGACTGAAGGACGTGAGAGACAAGTAGAAGGCCTACCCTTGGACACATCCCTGATTGAAAGCATATAGGCTAGCCTGTGTAGCAACTGAAACACATGTAAAAACTCAGCATAGGGCTGGAAAGACAGCCCAGCAGTTAAGAGAACTGGCTGCTGTTGCAGAAGACCAGGGTTTGAGTCCCAGCACCCACATGGTGGCTAACAACTGTCTGTAACTCCAGCTCCTGACTTCTGCATGCATTGCACTCATACACATAATAATAATAATAATAATAATACCAGCATGTAAACAAACCTTATTCAACATTTCCACATTATAATCACATATTTAATACATTTAGTTTAGCATATCCAAAAAGCAAAAAATTTGAAGATACAAATATTGGGAAAAAAATTAATTCATTGTTACACATCTCCAGTTTTTCTTTCCTTTTCTTTTTTTTTCTTGTGCTGGAGATACAATACTCTACTGCTGAACTACATCTCCAGTTTCACCCAAAGTTTCTTTATTCTTGAGAATTTCATACATGTATACAGTGAAACACAATCATATCTCCACCTCCATTTCCCACTTCAGTTGCCCTCAGTCTCCCCCAACAAGGCCCCCTCAAACTTCATGTCCGTTTTTTATAACCCACTAAGTCCAAATATTGCTGCCCATGTGTGTATGGCTGTGGGGTTATCCACTGTATTAAACTGGTTCACACATCCAAAAAAGAAAAGAAAATAGAATGATTCTTTCTTTCCTGGCAGCTTTCAACTGATGATAACTCCTCATTAAGTCTAGGATGTAGAGAACACCTCCCCTATCTGTGCCAGGATGTTGACTGTGCAGTAACCACAGTTGATGTGAGCTCATGAGTATGACAGACATGTCAAGTCCAGAAGTTTGCATTTCGCAGCACTCCTCCATGATCCACTTCTTACCTTCTCTCTTCTTCAGTGCTCTTGTGGCAGTGGAGCTGGCGTGGCACTGTTGGGAA